TAGCATGTCTACTACTCCCCTAGTTGGGAGTTGTTTCAGCTTTCATGATATGGTTGCAGGACCTGTTTTCAACCTCCTTTCAATGTACTTTGTTTTATTTGTGATTACTGTGTGTCATTGTAATTGCTTTATCCAATGTCTCCCTGTAATGACAATGCTTGTACCAAGAGGCCTCTGTCTCTTTCTATAATAATACCTCTATACAAATATTGAATGAGAAATGCAAAATGCATATTGTGCAAGCTGCATTTTCCATTGCCCATCTCTCTCCATCCTGCCTAACTAGCAGGATGAACCGACCATTGGATACGTGGCCCCAGCACCTCACAAATGAGCACTCAGTTTCGTTTCCTACCCACACATACACAGTCTACTATTTTTCACTCTCACAGGTTGCTGAGTTGTGAGAAAGAGTGTACTGTGCATGCGTAGGTAGGAAAAATAGCTTAGTGCTCATTCATAAAATGATGGGGCAGTTCATCCATTGGTCAGTATATCTTGCCATCTAAGCATGATAGTGGGGAGCAAAGTAAGCTTGCACAGAAAGCATTATTTTACAAAATGGAGAAATGCACATTAATATACTGGCGAAGCTGTAAGACATAGGTATTTTTTTGTCATTAAAAATGAATTAACCCTTGAAGGAATGCTTAAGGAAGATCCTGCCTACAAAAGTGTAGTTTTATTGACAAATTACGTATATGATCACATATGGGTGTTGGCCAGGTACCAACAGATGGTAGTATGAAGGCAGGGAAGGAAGATTCTGCCTTCAGAAAATTACTTTTACTAACAATTATTTTTGCAAATATATATACCCTCACTGGACTGCATAAAAACCACACCCATAGTTTTGTCTCACGGACAATGTGGACAGTGGACATCAATTCCCACAGCTCTTTTTATTTTTGAAAGCATCTCAGACTATGATATATACACTGCTCAAAAAAATTAAAGGAACACTTTGAAAACACATCAGATCTCAATAGGGAAAAATATCACGCTGGATATCTATACTGATATGTGTTAGGAACATGAGGATGCCCCATTGTTTGATGGAAATGAAAATGATCAACCTACAAAGAATTCAAAGATACCCTGAAAATCAAAGTGAAAAAATTATGTAGCAGGCTAGTCCATTTTGCTGAAATTTCATTGCAGCGACTCAAAATGGTACTCAGTAGTAAATGGTACTCAGTAGTTTGTATGGCCCATATTATTATTATTATTATACAGGATTTATATAGCGCCAACAGTTTGCTCAGTGCTTTAGAATATAACGGGAGGCAATACAGCAACAATACAGCTCAATACAAGAGGGATAAGAGGGCCCTGCTCCTGGGAGCTTACAATCTAGGAGATATATATATATATATATATATATATATATACTGCTAATTAAAGGAATAATTTTTAATCAGTGTATAGCATCAAGTCAGTTATACTCCTGGGATAGTGATCTGGTCAGTTAAGTAGCAGAGGGGGTTGTTAATAACTTTCAGCTGCTTTGCTGTTAATGAAATTAACAACAGGTGCACTAGATGTGAGCAGCACAGTGGCTAAATGGTTAGCACTTCCGCCTGGCAGTACTAGGGTCACTGGTTCGAATTCCAACCACGGCCCCACCTGCCTGGAGTTTCCATGTTCTCCCTGTGACTGTGTGGGTTTCCTCTGGGTACTCTGGTTTCCTTCCACACAACAAAGACATGCTGGTAGGTTAATTGGCTCCTGTCTAAATTGTCCCTAGTATGTGTATGTATGAATGTAAGTTAGGGACTTTAGATTGTACGCTCCTTGGGGGTTAGGGACTGATGTGAATGTACAATATATGTATGTAAAGCACTGCATAAATTGATGGTGCTATAGAAGTACCTGAAATAAATAACAATGAGATGACTCCCAAAACAAGAATGGTTTTACAGGTGGAGGTCACTGACATTTTTTCCCTACCCATCTTTTCTGACTGTTTTTCACTAGGTTTGCATTTGGCTAGGGTCAGTGTCACTACTGGTAGCATGAGGCAATATGTGGACCCTACAGAGGTTGCACGGGCAGTCCAACTCCTCCAGGATGGCACATCAATACGTACCATTGCCAGAAGGTTTGCTGTGTCTCCCAGCACAGTCTCAAGAGCATGGAGGAGATTCCAGGAGACAGGCAGTTACTCTAGGAGAGCTGGACAGGGCCATAGAAAGTCCTTAACCCATCAGCAGGACCGATATCTGCTCTTTTGTTCAAGGAGGAACAGGATGAGCACTGCCAGAGCCCTACAAAATGACCTCCAGCAGGCCACTGGTGTAAATGTCTATGACCAAACACTCAGAAACAGACTTCATGAGGGTGGCCTGAGGGCCCAACATCCTCTAATGGGCCCTGTGCTCACTGCCCTGCACCATAGAGCTCAATTGGCATTTGCCATTGAACACCAGAATTGGCAGGTTTGCCACTGGCGCCCTGTGCTTTTCACAGATGAGAGCAGATTCACCCTGAGCACATGTGAGAGATGTGAAAGGGTCTGGAGAAGCCATGGAGAATGCTATGCTGCCTGTAACATCATTCAGCATGACTGTTTTGGTGGTGGGTCGGTGATGGTCTGGGAAGACATATCCATGAAGGGATGCACAGACCTCTACAGGCTAGACAATGGCACCCTGACTGCCATTAGGTATCAGGATGAAATCCTTGGACCTACTGTCAGACCCTACACTGGTGCAGTGGGTTGCGGGTTCCTTCTAGTGCACAACAATGCCCGGCCTCATGTGGCAAGAGTATGCAGGCAGTTCCTGGAGGATGAAAGAATTGATACCATTGAATGACCCCCACACTCGCCTGACCTAAATCCAATAGAACACCTCTCAGATATCATGTTTCGGTCCATCCGACGCTGCCAGGTTGCACCTCAGACGGTCCAGGAGCTCAGTGATGCCCTGTTCCAGATCTGGGAGGAAATACCCCAGGACACCATCTGTCTTCTCATTAGGAGCATGCCCCGACATTGTCAGGCAAGCATACAAGCACGGGGGGGGGGGCATACAAACTATTGAGTACCATTTTGAGTTGCTGCAGTGAAATTTCAGCAAAATAGATTAGCCTGCTGCATCATTTTTTCACTTTGATTTTCAGGGTGTCTTTTAATTCAGTCCTCTGTAGGTTGATCATTTTCATTTCCATCAAACTATGGGGCATCCTTACATTACCCAGTCCATATCAGTATAGATATCCAGCATGATATACACACACACACATACATTCTATACAGTGGGAGAACAGAATTTTGTATTTTCTGCTGCTGAGATCCTTATGCTGGTATCTTTTACACAAAAAGGACTGGTCTTCGATGCAGAGGATATTGGAGAAGAAGAGGTGTGCGTGCAACCAAGAGTATAGGTATACTGTTGAGAGGGTTAATATGACAATTGAGATTACAGCGGGGGGGGGGGGGGATAGCATGAGAGGGGACTTTCAGGTACGGCATCACTTCCTGTGCTGGGAGCTCTGCGCTTTTTAATTATTATAAATTTATACACACATATAAGATGCAAAAATGACCCATTAAATATATTTTTTGCAGTATATAATATATAGCACTCTAAATTTTTCATTTCAACTGTTCCACACACACAGTAATCAGAGAAGAACACTTAGATCTCATTCTCTTTAAAAGTTAGTTCCTTAACATGACAGAAAAAATGCATTAATTCTGTTCTTTTAAAGCTGAATTCCAGGTTTGAAGGGAAAAAATACCCTTGCTGTGCCTTCCCTCCTGTAAGGGTTAAATACTTGTTAAGTCTACGAGTAGAGGAAAAGGCTATCTGCCCTGAATTGCATGTGATGATGTCAGTGTACGACTGTCAACTGGAGCACCCCAAAGAAGAGCCTGTGGGGCTAGTCACACAACATGAAGGAAAGCTGCTAGAGAGAAGAATAAGGTAAAGTATTACATCTTACTCCTTAACCCCTAGACCTAAGAAGCATTTACCTCTTGCAGTAGTGGGATCGCCCACTGGAAGGGTTTTTTATTTAACAGATGTAAATGCCTGAAGTCAATGGAGACCAGCGGGTGCATTTTTGGTACTGATTAATAAGTTATACAAAGCAACTCCCTTTATTCTATGTTAACAAAAGTCCTCTACTAACTCGAGCAGGAAGTGTGCATTGGGCGAACAAGAGGCAGGCTACACAACAATGGACTGTATGGAGCTGTATCTCCTCTCTGTAGAGCTTGTGTGATGATGAACATGTGGGAGGGAAGAAAGAGGAGTGAGCTTCTGTCATTGCTGTATTGTGTTTGATGCCTGCTGTCCTGCACATTGACATACAAGACAGGTAGTGGAATTACATGTGACATTTTGCACTGGAGGAAACTTTGCCACAAGGTAAGGGAAGCTATGTAATCCTCATTAAAGTATACTGCTATTGAAAGTACAGCTATTCTTTATATGTCATGAACAATGAAGAGGATTAAACCATTGAGTCTCTTTAAACAATGTAATCTGATCACTGCTAGTTCTCAGATAATGGTCTAATACAGCCAAGCTTACATTTACTCTAGAGCTGAAGAAGTTAACCCAACATTCACTCTTCTGTTTGTACAATGCTGATCAGACTAAACACCTGTGTATAGGAATGTTTTTATGTGTACTATCCTGACGCACCTTCATTTTAAAGTGACTTTACAAAATTATGACAAAGACGAAAGATAAAATTCATAGCTTGAAACACTCTTTATTGCAACAGATAATTAAAAAATAGTACATCTGTAAGAATTGAAAAGTGCATATCGTGAAAACTATATTATAAAGAAATTATAAAGAAATCACAACCCAAGCAAATTATCTACATTTGAACTAAAAGTTTTATTAAACAACTCCAAATTAACATCTTTTATTCACCATAACTGTGTGTGGTATTTACAGTCTTCGGCTTGTATGATCAAGGCTTTGTCTAGGGTTGAAGGAGTAGGAAAATAAAGGGCCAGAGGGTAGGGAGGTTGTTGAAGGCTAACAAGATGTGAATGTTTTCCAGAAGAAGTTCTTGCAGCCAGCTTTGCGTTCTCTGGGGGCCAGAGCTGGACTGGAGTTTGCAGACCGTTCTAGTTCCAACCTGACTTCGTCTTGTTCAGCACCTCTGGGCAGGTCATCAGATTCCAAAGCTTCATTGTCTGTCTGGGATGGCTCCGATAGTAATTCTGCCAGAAAGTATTTGGCCAACTCCTACAAACAGGGTGGAAAGGATTTGTTAGATTAAACATTTTGTGGGAAACACACATAATGGTTGTATTAGAAATATTAGTAAAATGTATCAGACATCCTTTTAAGTCAGACGAAAGGAAATACCTTGCACACTAAATTGCATTTTGCATTTTTATAAAATCATGTAAGGGATGTAATCACAAAACCCACAGAGATCAACTGTCAGACATATCAGAAATAATTATACTAGCAAATGTTATATCTAGCATAAGATTTATGTACGCTCAATAAAAAGGATAAATGACAGGTTGTCATCTTCAACTTTGGAGGCGTCTGGAGTTCTGAAACTACTTTGTTCTCTTTATGAAATGCTGCAATAAACAGCTTTTATTTGCAAGGCTGAACATCATTATTCACTGCGACACGTGTTGGGAAATGCATACAATACAGCATTTAGTGACCCTGTTTCACTTTTTCAGTTAAAGAAGTTATTAACTAATATGTCATACTGTGTAATCTCAGCCTTTACTGAAATGTTAGGGTTTTTTTTTTATATATATATTGTGCATGTAATAGTAGGATACAAATTATGTTGCATGACTGTGGTTATTATACTATATCTGGAGGAAAGCAAAAACAGGATTTTAGTCAATTTCATTCAATCAAATCTAAGTTTTAATTTTCTATGCTATTTGCCTAATAAAAATCTAGCTGTTATATGTAACTGTTTCAAGTTAGTTTTCTTCAGTTTTTATATGACCCATAGCCTGTAGAAATTCAGCACAAAATCCTGTTGAGCGTTCAGCACCTCGGATAGCTCAACGCTGATGCCAGCCAATCTAGTGCAACATTGCTGTACGTAAATCAACAATTAGGATTCAGGTCAGTCTGGGGTAAACAATATGCAACACACAAAACTCCTAAAGGCTAAGCTGCAAGTTCTGTAGCAGCCCCTGAAACTGCCTGATTATTATATAGCAAGGCACCTTGTATCCTTTATATGAGTTTACAAATATGCAAGTAAAAAAAACTCCCTATCCTTGTCAGTTTTCTTCTGATTGCACAGAAAATGTAATTTAGGAGGCTACATACCTGTTTTCCTGCTGCTGCCAGAGATTTCTGCAGGAACTGGCGTAATCTTGGGTCTGTAGGTGCAGCTGAGATTGAGTTGATAGCCAGAGCGAATGAGAGTAGGGTCAGAGCACACTGCACTCGACAGGACTGCATCTCTTCAATAAGTTCTCTCAGCTGACTGTGGAAACAGTGCTATCAGAGCAGAAAGGAAGCTGCCGTGACTGTTTCTTCTGCTTCTGCTCCTGGGATCTCTTTAGCCCCCTTTTAAATTCTCTATATGACGTCAGTGAAGGAAGAGCCCCCTCCTCCCCCTCTCTTTCCTGAGATAACCACCACTTTTACGCATCATTACCCCAAAGTAGATAAATCACTAAAGCCACCAACAAGAGAAGGAATTTTAAGGGGTTTCTGTATTTTTTTCTGTTATTTTATTGTTATACTGTTTACATAGGCTTTCAGCATAATTGAAACAAAATTGGTTTCTATGTTCTTCAAGATCATTTAACCTGATCTGTACCAGAGTCACCACCCTGTGTTCCCTGTCTATAAATCAGATGTGTGTCATTTCCGTTTTTTTTTTTTTTTTCAAATTTTTTGCAAATGCAGATCATTGATGGCAACAGGAATATTCATTTGTCTACTAGCAATAAATATCCACCAAACACAGACTTATTTTTTCATCAGCTTTGCTGACTATTTTGAGAACTTTAATACTCACTTTGGTTTAGGAATAGTTTATGCTACAGTTGTTGCAGGCATGTACAAAGAATAGAATAATTTCTAATCTGCAAAAATATTTTAGAATACTATCGCAGATTTCATCGAGTTGTAAAGGTTTCTTATGTGTGTTAAATTACTACATAAATCAAGAGAACATTAGAGTTCAGAAGCTGACTGGAATGCCTTAAAGAATCTTTGGTTAAGCAGCCCATAGTCATGAATTGACACTTGGCTGTTTTGGGCAGGCTTGGGTGACAATTTCATGTCTATGGAGGCAGGCAAACACCTGCTGCCTGACAGTTTTCTGGAGCATATCAATCAGTTTAGGAAATCTGTCCCAGTCGCTATTGTTCCCTCAAGATAAGTGGAACCAGCAGTGTCTTCCTACGCCCCTCTCTTTCCCCCACCCTCCTCTCTGTACCAACATAAACTTGCTGGGCTAGATCAATTTTATGAACAACCTTTCAAGTTTTTGGAGTGGTTGCATATTTTCCAATGTCCATGGGCAACTTCTGTGCACATCTGACTAGTGAGACTAGCTATTGTTAAGGAACATTTAACTGCAAATTTAGTATTTACAGATCGATCAAACAATCTATGTATTTATCTTTTTTTTTTTTTACCAGCACATATACATCACACCCGCTTATGAACCAGAACGGTGATATGTGATCATAGAGAGTTCTGCACGACATACGTCAGAAGCTTACCTAAACCTTATTTCATTGCAAATGGCACATCGTGTCATGTGATTAACATAGAATGTGCAAGTGAGCCCTCTTGTCAATTTTCACTGTGCAATTTTTAGTATTTCCTAATGATCAGAAATTGGCATTTTCCACAGTGCCCTTCTCCTTGTCATCTACATGTTTGCTCTACTCGTAGTACATAATAGCTATGCCTCTTGTAAAAATAGGCATTCTATGTGAAAATCAATATATAAATCAAACATCTACACAGAGACAATTATATATGTGTGTTTTGCCAAAGCCTACAGCTTAATAATGAAGTGGAATTGACTTGCATTGTTTGGTATAAGCAAAATGAGTTGCTACAAGCAGTTAGTTAGAATTTGTATAAAATAAACAGAGGGAAATGAAAAATGGATTGTTTTAGAACTGAGTCGAAGGAAAATCAAAACGGGATAATGACAGCAGAACTAACTGTAAAAAATGCCAGTATATTAATAAATGCCAAGTTAATTACAAGTGTAGTAGACTCTTCCTGTAGGGGGTTGAGAGGGTATAAATGGGCTGGAACCCAGAGCAGAGGTCTCTTGTTTTTTTGTAAGGGGGGAATCCCTCAGAGTTCACCTGCAGCTGAAAGAATATTTTTTTAGAACCCAGCTTCTGCTTTGGCTGAGGGACCTCTGGCCTAGTTTTCTGAAGATTTCAGAGAGCTCTTCTAAGGATCCAGAACACAGGCAATCCAAGTACAGAGTCTGACTGAGGGCAAATTCACGCCAGTGCGTTGATTTGTGTTTTAGCGCAGCTGTAAAATGCAGATCAACAAAAGGACATCTGAAAAACAATAATTTCCAATGTGTCCTATTCACCCCATAATGTTGCGTTGACAATTCTCCACATACAACATACAGTCATGGTCAAAAATATTGACACCCTTGCATTTCTGTCAGATAATGCACCACTTTGCCCAGAAAATTGTTGAAATTACAAATAGTTAGGCATTCTCATGTTGGCTTCTTTTGTTTGTATTGGTATGACACAAAAAAGTGGAGAAACAAGAAGCCAAATCTGACTCATTCAATGCAAAACCCCAAAAATGGACTGGACAAAATTTTTGGCACCCTCAATTTAATATTTGGTAGCAATTTATTTTGGAAAAAATATCACTAAAATCAATCGATTCCTGTAACCATCAATTCATTTTTTACACCTTCCTACTGGAATTTTGGACCACTCTTCTTTCCCCAACTGCTCCAAGTCTCCAAGGGGTGTGCTTGATGTCAGATGCCAACCGGAAGTTGTGTGGTGGCCATTTTAGATGAGGTCCGGTCTACAGTTTTAAAACAGTGCTGATGTACATCTTAACTATGTAAAGCTTTTTCATCTAATAAATCAGATGGTTTTAATATTTTACGCGATGGTTTCTATTCTCTCTTTGATCCATATATTGGCATTGTGATGGAACAACAAGAGCGATGTTGGTTGGAGAGCAGGTTTTTTTCTACAGTTTAGTAAGGTGCATGGATTGGAAGGTGGTGGATTCCTCTATTGTCTCACTTAATTGGTGGTTATTGGTTTGATACCACAGGAGTACAGTGTGATATATACAGTGAAGGAAATAAGTATTTGATCCCCTGCTGATTTTGAATGTTTGCCCACTCACAAAGAAATGATCGGTCTAAAAATTGAATAGCAACAAAAAATTCAAAAGAAATGCATGTCTAACAAATTATGCACTCATTTGCATGTTCATGAGGGAAATAAGTATTTGATAACCTTCACAAAACATGACTTAGTACTTGGTGGCAAATCCCTTGTTGGCAATCACAGAGGTCAGACGTTTCCTGTAGTTAGCCACCAGGTTTGTACACATCTCAGGAGGGATTTTGGCCCACTCCTCTTGGCAGATCCTCTCCAAGTCTTTAAGGTTTGGTGGCTGAGGTTTGGCAACTTGAACTTTCAGCTCCCTCCACAGATTTTCAATCGAATTAAGGTGTGGAAACTGGCTAGGCCAATCCAGGACCTTAATGTGCTTCTTCTTGAGCCACTCCTTTGTTGCCTTGGCTTTGTGTTTTGGGTTATTGTCATGCTGTAACACCCATCCATGACTCATTTGCAATGCCCTGGCTGAGGGAAGAAGGTTCTCACCCAAGATTTGACAGTACATTGCCTTGTCCATCGTCACTTTGATGCAGTGTAGTTGTCCTGTCCCCTTAGCAGAAAAACACCCCAAAGCAGAATGTTTCCACCACCATGTTTGACAGTTGGGATGGTGTTCTTGGGGTCATAGGCAGCATTCCTCCTCCACCAAACACAGCGAGTTGAGTTGATGCCAAAGAGATCGATTTTGGTCTCATCTGACCACAACACTTTCAACCAGTCCTCCTCTGCATCATTCAGATGTTCAGTGGCAAACTTCAGATGGGCCTGGACATGTGCTTTCCTGAGCAGAGGGACCTTGTGGGCACTGCAGGATTTCAATCCTTGTTGGCGTAGTGTGTGTTACCAGTTGTTTTCTTGGTGACTGTGGTCCCAGCTGCCTGGAGATCATTTACAAGATCCTCACGTGTAGTTCTGGGATGATTCCTCACTGTTCTCATGATCATTGACACTCCACGAGGTGAGATCTTGCATGGTGAACCAGACCTAGGGAGACTGACAGTTATTTTGTGTTTCTTCCAATTGTGAATGATTGCACCAACTGTTGTCACCTTCTTACCAAGCTGCTTGGCGATAGTTTTGTAGCCCAGTCCAGCCTTGTGTAGGTCTACAATCTTGTCCCTGACATCCCTGGACAGCTCTTTGGTCTTTGCCATGGTGGAGAGTTTGGAATCTGATTGTTTGATTGCTCCTGTGGACAGGTGTCTTTTATACAGGTAACAAAATTAGATTAGCAGCATTCCGTTTAAAAGACTGCTTCCAATCTCAGCTTGTTATCTGTATGAAAGACACCTGGTAGCCAGAAATCCTGCTGAATGATAGGGGATCAAATACTTATTTCCCTCATGAACATGCAAATCAGTGCATAATTTGTTAGACATGCATCTCTTTTGGATTTGTTGTTGCTATTCTGTCTCTCAGTGTTCAATACACCTACCATTCGATTTTTAGACTGATCATTTCTTTGTGAGTGGGCAAACATTCAAAATCAGCAGGGGATTGACGACTTATTTCCTTCACTGTATGTGTCATATATATGATATTTGTTGAATATACTACACTATATACAATTTAAATTATAAGAGGGAGCGATCACTCAAGAGTAGGAATTGCAGATATCACATGTGGAATGACACTTGGTGGAGTCTTTACATGTTTTGAGCACTTTTATGTGAATGTATTTCAGTTTGGTTTATAGTGTATGACATAGGTAATGCAGTATGTGCGGTTTCTATAGGGTTTCTATGAGGGTTAAAGAAGAAGAGGAGGATATCACTTTATTGAGAATAAAAAGAGTTTGGAAGAATTATAAAGTCACTTGAGGATACATACTGAGGACGTTGAATTGATTGGACGCTGAGGAATATTGTATGTCTCCCCTCATCACACTCCTTCTCCACACACAGGATGTGATGTCACAGGATATCAGGGAGAAAATGCAGTGTGCTTTAACGCATGCTAAAACGGATGTCAACTGATGTAAAAATGTATGCCAACGGACATCAGCACGCGACTAAAATGGATGGAAATGTACATACAATTCCATACATTTTAGCACAAGTCAGTGTGAATTGGCCCTCATACTAC